TTTATAGAGTCAGGACTCATGATGCTGTTTCATATGTTAAGTTCTCCTTTTTCACCAGGTTCTACCATAACGAAGCAGTGAACAGTATATTCTCAAATAAGTGGTACCCTACTCGTTTGTCATTTTGGCATTTCTCAGCAGCAAGAACACCATGCATCACTCTTCTCAGGAGGGATTACTACTACTAGTTCTAGTAAGAGCACATGACTATTCATAATTTTTCTTTCCTAGATTCACGTGGACCGTACTGATTGCAGACTCTACTTCCCACGCCGGAGGACTGAGATCACTAAATAAATGGCTGCCACGGGGCACAGGGAGTCTGAGAACCTGCAGCAGTAGAGTGGCAAAGCCACATAACTTAGATAGAAGCAGTTAATGACATCTAATGTGTTAGGCCCTGCTTGTTATTAGGTGAGTCTGGTAGATGTCTGGCAAGAGAAGATAGCAAGAAAAAGGAAGAGAAAACCTCAGTCTGTCCAGATTTGCAGCCTGACAGTAGTTACAGAAATAAACCTATTTATAAGATTGCTGCATTTGACTCACTGCTGTTTCCAAACTCATCTATATGAATAGTCTAAAAAACACTTTAACATCTTGACAGGCTTCTAACTTCTTATTTTGACATCGGCAGCATGACCCAGAACTCAAGTTCACCAAGTACATGTCAACAGTAGCTGTGGGAAAAACTGTCAGAATGACAGGAACAAAGGGCAGGCTTCAGCTACCGTTCATGACACAACTAAGCATGAATTAGACATAGTTCTGTGCAAACCATTTAATGCGTTCACACGCCAAAGCTTTAAGTAGAAAACAATCCTTCAACAAAAGAGACAGTAAGAAGAAATTAGTGATAAGGCACTAGTTTCCACTGACTTTTGTTCTTGCCACTTGGAAGCATCCAGCTTGCTCCACAGTTAGCTGCTTGGTAACAGCAGAAACACATCTTGCAACACACAAACACAGGAACCCCACTGGGGACCACAGTCCTCTTATCGCGCTCGACTCTTCATTTTCTGCCTTGCTCTCTTTCCAGGTCTCTTCTGAAAAAAAAAAAAAAAGAAAAAGAAAAAAAAAAAAAGACAGATTCAGACCTTTATTTTCACGTTCTCAATCTTTGTTCTAGCTCTATAGCTTGGGGAGGATACCAAGAGGATATTTGTCAGTACCTCAGGAGAGGGAGGTTTTGGGACACAGGTAGCAACAAACAGTACTTGCTAACTGCCCCACTCACGTACCTGCTCACACACCGAACCACCATCCTCAACTCTGTCTGCAACTGAATTATGCTCCGCTCCCAAAGACACTGTCACTTCCATGTACTCAGCTCTCCCTCCCAGATCAGGGCTGGCTTCCTAGCCAACCAGGGTCATTTCCATGCAACATTTTACTTACATTGAGGGCTTTTTTCCCTCCTTTTCCTGCTTTTCCTGGGCCTTTGTTGTGAGCCACTTTTGACTGGAAGCTGGATACATCATTAAAACTCTCCTTTGTGTTCCACTTTGAGCCCTTCTTCTTCCCACCAAAACCAAACTTCTGATTCTTGTATCGTCTTTTGGCATTTGGTCTGAAAAATAACCGAATAGCATGGTCACCTATGTTCCTGTCCTCACAAAGCTCTCAAGAAGGCACATGTATCTGCTGATGGACTCCCATCAGCCTTCATGAAAGTTTTCCCTCTTATTGAAGAAACAGAAATTAGCACATTTCAGTCTCCATTCCATTCTGGCCACAGTTTTCCTCCTCTCTAGGGACAGAAAGCCAGCTCAGATTTATTTTAACAAATATTAATCGGAACAGCTATCTTGTTTCATAAAATTATTCCCTAAAAGACTGAAAAAATATCAGAGGCTCTGCATTTAAATATTTTTCTTTTCTGGTCTCACCCCTTCTTTATCCGTTGACTTGCAATGCCTTTTTTATTCCCCTGAGATGACGTCTGCTCTTCATCTAGAAAATCCAGCTTGTCAGAGAGACCTGCAAGAGCAAAGACATAACAGTTGCTCAGCTACCACCACAGAAAATACAAATTTTCAGTTTAAGCAAGTAACAGCAATGCATCACCCTCACTGAAGAACAGCTACTTGGGAGGATTTTCACTGCCACTGGCATATGATTCTGCTCAGCAGCAGCCTTTCAAGCTCACTGCCCGGCACTACAGATTGACACCACACATCACACTCCTTTATACTGCTCACACATCACTATTCCATTACACATTTGTTCTCTCAGATAAGTTAACTTTACCTTTCTGGTATTTCTTGACTGCATTCAACATATTTTTTTTCTCCTTTTGTCTCCTCTGCAGAATCTCAGTTTGCACCTGAGATTAGAAGCAGAATGTTAGTGTTGTTCCTGGTAGTGTCCCATATATATATATTTTTTTTTTTTTTTTTTTCTGTACTAATTACAATTACTCGTTCTGGAAGTTTTTTTAAGGTATCCCATCTTTTGCTCTGGCTTCCTTCAAAGTGGCTAGACAGAAGACTAGACACATTCCATATACTTTAGCCAGCCTCCTGTGCTCCCACTTTCTAAGCTCCTCACTCAGGCTCTAGATTCTTGTCATAGATAGGTCCCCTTTGTAGCTCACCCTCACCTTCTTGCCATATTTTCTCATTGCACGAAGCTGTTTCGCTTTCTCAGACCTCTCCATTGCTTCCTGTTTACTCTTAAGCTTCTGTCGAATCTTATTAGGGAATAGAAAAACAAAATTTATCAGTAACATAAAAGAAAATGTGAGAATTTTATGATTGCTGTGCAGTCCTGAAAGCAATAGTTATGTGAACTATCAATGAGTGTAAAAACGAAAATATGTCTCAATCAGACAATGCTTTATAAGGCATAATGTTCTTTCAACTCAAGGCTGGAATAGTTATTACAGAAACTCCTGAACTGATCTGTAGCCAAAATCTTGTTAAAAAACCCCAAAACTCATACAGAAACAAGACAATGGGCTTGTAATGGGCTCTAATGGAACAGCTAAACAAGAGTATCTTGTCACATCTTGTCAGTCTACTCAGGTGTATGCAGAAGACTTAATCATTTCTTTCTTGTCATTATTAAAAGCACTGAAAAAGAGTCAACAATCCTTCCATGCCACAGAAAATATATTTTTCATTCTCTCCTTGTTCACAAACATTTCTATAAGGATGCCACATTACAAGGGATTAGAAAGACTGCAACACAGATCTTCTGGATTTGGTCTGTGACTCCACTAGGAGAGAAAAACTCTGTTCTTCAAACAGAAGCCAGCAAAGAAGGTAATAGTAATGTGCAGAATTGACTTAAGCCTCATCACAAGCTAATTATTAATCTTCATCTTCTCTAGGAAGATTCTATCAGCCATCAAAACAGTGATCAAGCCATACATGAACCTCCAAATTAGACTCCAGCCCATATTTAACTTATACAATGTATTCTTTTTTCTGAAACTAAACCAAAAATTAGGGTTCCGTTTTGAACAAAGACCACAAATCAAGAAGCAAGTTTGCAAAATTATTTCCTACACAAATCTGACTTACTACCCATGATAGACTAATTCAATAACACACAGTTTAAAATCACAAAGAACCAAAACACACTAAGTATAAACAAGTATACTTACATAGGGAAAAAGGATCACATTAATGCCACAGCTGACTGCAAGTCTTAGGACAGAGAGCATAAACACAGCCAACTTTACAACCACTGTCACATATATGGAGAAAAAGTCTCCATTTTTAATATTAAATACATTCAGGACAGAATATAAACCGTGTTTTTCTACTTTATGTTCCAACCTGTTAGGGAAAACCCCACACTGCTGAAATACCTAAACAGGAAGAAATTTCTTGCCACAAACAAAGTTTCAAACACAAACATTGTCACAGGCATTTGTCAGAGAGATGAAGGTAAGTATTCACACATCACACCTTAAAGTTAATCCCTAACACAGGCTAAACCCAACAAATAACACAGAAAAGAAAGCCATTATTCACTGCACATACCTTCTGCATCTGTTGGTCTGATTTGGCCATCTCTGCAAAGTAATCATCTGGCCTTCTAGTAGGAACTTGGAGCTTACGCAACCTAGGTAGGGCTTCCAGGACGGCTGCCTGAGCCTGCCGGTAACTAGGGAGACAGCACAGCACCAGCTCTGTCACTGGGTACGGGGCATCCCACAGCACCAACAGAAACTCTGCTCACATAAGCTAGCTGATACCAGGATTTAACAACTGATCTAGGGTTATATCAACATGCTGCACCCTACAGCATTCAGTGCTACTAAAAGCAATTTAGGTGCCAATACAATATTAACGCATATATCTTGTGCATATGCATTTATCTGGTTTCCAATTACAGTTTCATATGTTTGATTATGAAAGGCAAGGCAGAGCAAGAGAACTGTAATAACACCAAAACAAATCCACAAAGAAAAATCCATATCCTGTGTTAAAGCCATAGTACTGCAACCAAGGAACTTTTTAAATAACCTTTTCAGCAAAGGATGGAAGTCTGCTCCACGGAGGGAAATTATTTCCATTATTAAGCAGGATAAGTTAAATATACTAGCATTAATTTGTAGTTGTTGTGGAAAACATTCACAGCCATCAAATGTAAAAGACACAGCCCACGAGTGACAGCCAGCGTGGCAGCCTGCAGCACACCTGCAAAACACGACTCCAAGCACGGAGCAGGATGCCAGAAATCTCTCCCTGCAAGAAGTCTCTCTCTTTGACACTTACAAGCTCATCTCTCTCTGGAAATCATTCTCAGGATCAACAGCATCTTTGTCGGAAGCGCTCTGCAAGACAGGGTCCACGACCTGGCCAGAAGTCATATCCAGCCTTTCCACCCAAGCTAGCTGCTGCTTGAATTCGGACAGGCACTGCTTCAGGCCGTCCTGCAAAGGAAGCACAGCTCTGCACACCACCGCACAGAACCACCGCACAGAACCACCGCCCCC